GTTGTCTACTGAGACAACAGTGACCACAAAGAGAATTTTATTTCTTTGTCTAGAATCTTTTATTTCTATGCCTAGAAATTTTAGAATATTTGGGCAAAAAATTGCAAGCTGCCTTGTGCCATATTTGAACAGCCTTTGTGATATGCATCTTTCTCAGAAATACTGTGGTTATTTTTTTTCTGCAGATGTTACAGAATTTAAAACTTGAGTTATTGGAAACAGGTCGTGACTATGTTACAGAAAGCTCAAGTAATCCAGAGCCGATGGCTATGGCGTGCAGTGACTTGGGGAAAAAAAAAACAGTGATTCATTCCCAATGTAGTGCAGAGAACAGTTGGGACCAGACATGTGTTTCATTTCACTTGGTTTTTGACAGATGAAATGAGGTGACAAATTCTGAAGCACCATGCTGTACTCAGACCTGAAGCTAAACGTTTAAAAATAATTGGGAGGGGGAAAAAAAAAAAAGGCAAAGCCTAACAGTGTTCCCTTATTTTTCCCCCAGAGTTTTTGCAAGTAAACAAAGAAAAGACAATGGGGACAGTGTCTTTATGCATTTTTGCTGGTGTTTGATTTCTCAGGCACCTGCAGTTGAATTTCTCCGCTTGGAAAGTCAGCGAACAAACAAAACTGACTCTGGAAAGATGCTCGTGTGCATTTTCTGAATGCAGAGCTCTGCAGTCCCTGTTAATAACTTCCCATTACAAACTCCAGGCAATATTTTTGCTGTTGTTGATACTGTTTGAAGGTAAATCCACTGAGTGGTTACGTGGCCGTTACCTAAGCAATATGTAGCTACTGGTGTAGAAGTTGAGCCAGGTGCTTCGTAAGGGCAATATTCACATTTTTAGGATCTCCTTATTGCTTTGCTTCAGGATTCTCTGGTTTCCTGCAGTTAATTGCTTTTATTTTTACCATATTAGAGCCTTTTTTCTCTTGTGGAGAGTAAGTAGTGTAGTAAACATGGGGTTGAATTTGTTGTTTAATTTGTTTGTATTTGGGCATAAATAAATTACATGATGCTGGTAAACGGAGATGAAGAGCTGTATGCCAGAGGCTTTGGAGAATCCAGCTGAAGCGCTGTATAAAACTATATAGAACCATCCTAGTATAGTCATCTCCATTTGTAGAGGTGTTACATTTTATTTAGGAATGACCAAGTGCCAATTTACTCTTTCACAAATTTTTGAGAAGTATTGTGGTGTTTGGCTGTTTCATATTGCTTAAGTCTGAAATAATTCCTCTGTAAATGAATATTTTTCATGCCATACTATGAACTCCTGGGCAGAGGGGTGTCCACCCATTGCCACATCAGCCAGCCTCTGTCTGCAGAAGCTCACTACTGTTACACTCATTGCTGTTTCAGATGAGCACCCACAGCCGTGCAGGTGTACTGATGAGTTGTGGAAGCTTTGTGGGGGGTGACAAGTTCCTTCTCCCCTTTGCTCACACTTCCCCACCTTCCTTATCTCTGCAACAAAACCCAAAACATAGGAAAAAGGTAAAAAGCGTTGTTGTGGGTCTCTTTGCTAGGAAGCCTTGACCATGTATCTGATTTTTCTGTTCAGTTGTTCAAGCAGCAGATGAAGATGAGGTCCTCATTATGTTATCCTATCTGTTTATTTCAACTTCCTTTGCTTAATTAATGCAATTTCCTTGACAATAAATCTTAACAAAAATTTGATTCTGCAAGTGAAGTTAGTCAAAAGCCATGAAAAAACAGAAAATCTCATCTCCAAGTCATTAATTGCCATAATAAATAAATCTCTTAAATCTGGAAGTGTAGGCACGAGCCCAGTGTGCGTGCACGGCTCCGGCCCAAAGATGGTGTGTCAGGTTGAGTCACCCAGTTACTGCGACAACAGAGCTGCAAACTCTTCAGCTTCAGCAGACCTCCAGCCCAGCTGCATCTGCACGTCGCACCAACCTGGATGGGGTCTTCATTGCTCCTTTCCCGAACGAGAAATACGGGTGTACTTTCACTAACGTAAACACCCTGTGGCTGGCATAGCTTGGAGGTGCGTAGAGGTTAAGGCCTTGACCTCCAAAAAAAAAAAATTAAACTATAGCTTAAGTTCTTAGCAGAGTCAAGTGATTGTCTGAACAGCTCATTTTTAATCTCCGAAATCCTTTTGTTAACCCGTAGCTTAGAGCACAAGATCAATGACCTTATCGTACACCCTCGTGAGGAACAATTTCGTGGCAGCCTGAGTAAGCCACCTGATTGTGCCACCTGGGATGCTCCATCTCGACGCAGTGGGGAATATCGATAATACTTCAGCTAGTCAAGAGCAGTGGAAGAAATTGGAAACGGATCAGGGCTTTGATTCCTAACTGCCTAACGAGGATGCTTTGTTCTGCTCACTCCCGCTCTCCCCGAAGGTATCCTGCACCTTCCCGTAAACTATTTTCCCCGCTTTGGGCTCTTTTCTTTTTCTGCCATTAGTGACACACACAGAAAAAAATTATTGTTGGGCTGTTGGTTTTGATGACTTTACGATCTACCTGACTTGTCAGAAACGAGATAAAGGAATTTCATCACCTTGTCACTGCTGCATTACTTTAAAATTTTAAATAGTCCTGAAAAGAGTAAGTGTGATTTCTTTCCTCGTGAGGTAGAAATGAAAGGGGGCTCTCGTGCTGAAAGGGGCTGCGGTTTGGTGCCTGCAGAACGTGGATCTCAGCAAACTTTTCTTCATTACAGCAGCTCATCTGGACCGTCATACGCACATGGACCTGTATAGACTCAAATCCTGTTGTTTTAATAGCGACAGGAAGCTCAGAGGCAAATTTGGCCCTCGTTTCTCTTGTAATACGAAGTGAAATTTAGGTTTGTGTCATAATGAACTTCCTCCAAGAGTACTTAATTCGTTTTTCCCTTTTCTAAGCGCAGCATGAAGCAGGGTGAGTTCCCTTCTGAGGAGGATGGATGTAGGGTAAGAAAGCAGCATCTTGCTTGGGACAGTTTGTGTTTCCGAGCAGGGCATTTTGACGAGGGGTTCTCACAAAGGCAGCGACTCTCCAGCCCAGAGGGATCTGTTTTTGCAGTGGGGTTTTTCTCACTCTACCCTGAGATGCACCAGAACACCTTCTCCAGCCAACATGGCAAACCCAAGCACGTCAGGACTTGGCAAAGACATTGCTGGTCAGGGCTGGGGAAGCGGCCCCGTGTAGGTGTGAGGGGAAGGAGCTGCTGCCTGGACTTGGTAACCCTTGAAAACCCCCTGCTCTGGCTCTCTGACGGCAGAGAACCTCCGAGCCAGAAGCCAAAGGGTTCGTGACAGTCCCAGCACTGACTGCTGAGGTGAACTAGGAGCAGGGGTGGTGTGGGCCGTGCCAGAGTCCATCTTGCCTTCTGCTCGCTCTCATCAATCTCTTCCATCTCCTCCGGCAGCTGCGGCACTAATGGCCAAAGCGAGCAGGAAACGAGCCGCACGCTTATAGATCCAGCGCTGGGCTGAGAGCTCACAGGGGGGCTTGTTGGGAACCCCGGCTCCTCTGGGAACAGCCAAGAGCCCCTCTTTATTTTCCTTCCGTCTTTACCGTAACATCTGCAAAATGTCAGTAGCATTCATGTCTTATAGAAGGACTTTGCCACAAGCAGAGTTTATGCTCTACCGTTTAAACAAGGGAGCTACTTCCCCATGTGCCTTGTGGATTTTCATCCTTTGATCCGTCATACAGGAATGTTATCCAGGGTTATGTACTGTCGTGGGAATTTGGGGGCAGGGCGAGAGGTAGAAAAAAATGAGAAATGTTTTCAAGTCCCTGATATAAGGGATTTCACAGGTGCTTATGCAAGGATGAGGGCATGTGTAGGACAAGGACCTGTCATAAGGTTACATGTGGCTGGTATTTGTTTTCTTCTTGTTGCTTTTATGATAAAAAGTGAATTGCAAGGATTAGCAAGAGGATGAAGACATCTGTACTCTGGGAGGCTTCTCTGAAAGGTCAGTAATGACGGCTCTTAATGTGCCTCATACTACACTGATGGACCTAAACCAGCATTTTATTCTGAAGGCAAATTTGTTGACATCAGGAAAGGAGACTTGGCTGCTGCAGGAGTGCAAAGAACATACAGCAGACAGTAACGTGGGAAGGTACTGAGCTTTTGTTTTTGTGACCTTGTCCAAAGAGGAAGTAATTACAGTATAATTGAATTCTGAAAGTCTGGAAACCATGACAGTTGTCAGAGTGCTATTTTAAGAGAAATAAGCATGTGTTTGAATACGTGTTCTCTTTCAAACTCCTAAGCATTGCTGATGCTGTTTGCTCTTCCTGCTTCTCCTTTTCTGCTACACGATCAGAACGCAAAATTCGGGCTCGTCTGCACCTTCACTTACCAAATCTCTTCTACCTGGTAATTTGCAGTACTTAGGATCTCCCCTGGCTCTACTGTGCTCGGGTCATGCCGTGGCTGAGCAGCTGCCCCATCTATCCATCCTGCCAAGGAAGGGAAGTGCTTCAACCCTCATCCCTCTGTAACATCCCTCTCTGACCAGGGCTGCTGGTACTGGTGATGCCAGGGAGCCCGCAGCCCAGCTGCATTGTGTCGACCCTTGTACTTGCCATGTGTGAGTGTGTGCCTTTGGTAAGCCAGCTTTAACAGGCGATGCACGCAGCTGCTAGCCCCGCCAGCAGTGCCACCCCCACAAAATGGGACTGAGCACTGGGAAATGTGCAGTATTGGGTCATAATTAACCTTTTCAAGAAAATCCGGTGTGGTGGAGAGTGATGTGAGCCAGTTGCTCTATATGCCTGGTAACTAGTATATTTGTATTAATATAGCAGTACTTTTTAATCTCCTTGGGGAGATTAAATCCTGGGATGCACACCTGCAAGGACTCAGGAAAACGGAGAATAAAATTCCTTTTGAGTTTTGATACAGTCTTTGGCTCTTGTGACCTAAAACAAGATGATTTCCCTTCAGTCACTCGTTTTGCTTGAGTTCAGGGAGCACTAACAGTTTCACCAGGTGCTTGACGTTCCAAATACCCCAGAGATTAATGATTCACAGCATCTCTGTGAAGCAGGATTTTGTCGTCTCCCATTCGGAGGAGGTCAAGCTGAAGCAGACGGTGAAGCTGTACACTCAGTCACAGCTAACTCTGGCTGTACGAAAAGGAAAAGTGTCAAGGTATTTTCAGTTGATGTACTTCTCCAGCAATGGGATCGCATCGTTCCCAATTAGCCGTTGTAGCTTATAGGTTGTTTTCTTGTGTACATACACTAGGAATATCTCAGGACAGTCAGTTATCTCTCTGTTCCTTTCCTCGTTACACCTTTGATAGATTTGTTTAATAGGCTCATTAAGGAAACGGAGGGCATCTCACCCAAGTGTTTGCCACATCAGTGAGCCCCAGTTGTTGGTCTTTTCAACCCCAGACAAGTGGGAAAACAAAACATTGCCGAAGGCATCTCTGTGCAACCCCCAAGGACCCAGAAATCATTCCCAAAGTTATAAGGATTGAAAATGGCTGACCTACTCTACAATCTGTAACTTAGTGCCTAAGGAACTGGTGATGGCTTGTGTATACACTCCACTCCGTTCAAAGGGATGGTTCAGTGCTGTGTTGGGGCACTAAGGAGGATGAAACACAGGTGAGAAGTTTCCCTGCTCCCCCAGATAGGTCTTTCTCTGTTTCAGAAATGCCAGACAAATATAAGCTACTCTGTAAATAAGAAGTAAAATGAATTACCGCTGCCCTTTGTATCTGTAAAAAACAGGGAAAAGGGCCACCATGTTTCCCCTCTCCTCCCATTTAATGCCTGGACAAGGCACTTAGCATCAGTCCTGACCCAACCGCCTTCCTACACCACCTTCCAACAGACTATGTGCCATATGGGTCCCTGGTTGTGTCTGGCTGCCAGGGACCAACTTCATGCCCATTTAGCAGTGGTAAACAATTAACTGGTACAATCAGGCCCCAGATTAACTGACCAGGAAAAGTCCTTCTTTCAAAACTCCTGCTTAAGTCCTCCATGCAATATGTACACGTGTTGTTCTTGCTGTTCTCATTACTTGGTTCTCTCTAATAGCGGCTGTCTCCGTAATGATGCCGGGTTGTTCCAGAAGGCTAGAGAAGAGATATGATTTAGAGGAATTATTTGGCCAAACAAGTGGATCTATGCACTTGAGATCCAGTTGCTCAAAGGATTCACAGGAAGCAAATTCCTTCAGTGAATGCAGAGATGGCATCGAGAGAATCTAGAGCTGAAATAA